GTCAAGTTCATGTCCAAAGTTTACTGAATACGTAGTATTGTATTTTGTTACATAATTCATATGTTTAACATAGAAATATGACTGAACTTACTGGCAGGTATAACCATTAACAAGGTCGGTACAAATACCCCCATTCTCACAAGGAACATTGGCACATTCATCGATATTCACATCGCATGTTAAACCAGAGAAACCCGCGACGCAACTGCATTCGAACGAGTTTATTAGGTCGGTACAGTTTGCACCGTTCTTACACGGATTCGAACCACACTCGTCCACTTCCTCCTGCAAGACATTTAAACAATAGTATACGATTGAGTTAAATTAATTAAAATGAGGAGTAAAGGGGGTATGTACGATTCCGTGATTTCATTCTCGTTTCTAGTTCATACGAGCACCATGTTGAGATAACCACAGCTGGTAGATTAGCTCATATAATGTTTGTAATAGACCTCGTCTTTGGTTTCTGCACCTACCTCGCAATAATAACCAGTGTAACCATAGATACAACGGCATACATAGTCTTCGGCATCGATAAGAACTACACACGTGGCATTGTTTCCACATGGATCGGGATAACATGGCGCAGATTGCTCATCGCAGTATTCGCCTACAATTTAAAAACGTAGAAAGTGATAGTCAATTTTAATTGTTACCTTCCAAAATAAAAATAATGCATGCTAATTATATGTTTGCTGATTATAATTTGTACCGACATTCGTCAGTAATACTCCGATTTCAGATTAAACTTCCGGGATTAATATAGTAGTTATAAAATTGTGAACTATTCAATGAGTAACAAAACAATTTACCTCCCCATCCGTAGACACAATCACAGGTGAACTCTTCAAGGCCATCGACACAAGTTCCTCCATTTTGGCAATTGACACCAATACAGTCATCGATGTTGTTCTGGCATCTAGAACCTTCATAACCATTAGGACAGATGCATGAGTAGGCATTATTCCCGTCTTGACATGTGGCTCCATTCATACAGGGACCCGGTGCGCATTCATCTAAAAAACAATAATAATATATAAACAACGTCGACATTCACACAGCCCTCAATTCGTAGTCCAGATACAAGAATTTAAAAGGCAATAGACACACAAAATTACTCATGACTGAATGAGCAACCATATCCTGCACTTATTTATAAATATACTTTGGTGTGACTAATGTACCATACCTTCCAGTAGATTTGACCAGAATTCCCAAACAGTTTCCGTGCTGCTTATGCGGCATGTACATCAATACATCATGATGACAAGTTGCTTAAACAATGGGATATTAAGGAGTATTCGTTTGGGTATTGGTGGCAAATTTGTAATGTTCACTTCGTACTCGTATGTACTGTTTACTTGCCAACTTATCGTTTGGAAAGCATATTACGTACTTTGGTTATTTTGACGGAACTTACCGATATTTTCATCACACAGGACGCCTTCAAATCCAGGTTCGCACTCACATCTAAACGCATTCAACAAATCCTCACAGTAGATTTCGTGATCGCAGGGATCCCCATCACATTCATTCGTCTCCTCATCGCATTGGTCTCCTTGGTAACCAGGTACGCAATCACATCTATATGAACCGACTAGATCGTTGCAGGTAGCACCGTTTTGACAGGGGTCAAATGCGCATTCATCCCTGTCGATTTCACACAAATCTCCTATGTAACCATCCACACAGCTACACACGTACGATGAGAAGCGAAGTTCACACTGACCTCCATTCTGACAGGGGCCGCTGTCACACAACGCTGGCAACTCACATCGATCTCTGCAAATCATAAGAAGATATAATAATTTCTATGGGATTATTTTGTTGTATAGTATGTTCATCACAACATAATATAGCTAAATGCAGATAAATTATGGCATACATTATAACAACATATCCTCTGATGTCTTTAAATAGTAAGCCTATCATACCGAGAATAATACTATCCGTTGCATATGAGTTTTACGTGCGTGTAAAAGTCTACTTTGTTAAGCACTGCCCTACATCCAACCATTACGTTAACGTTATTCAAGGAGCGATCATCTATCGTTATCAAAGTGGATAAACACCGATTGAGTGGTTCAATCAATAAGTCACACATATGTGTATTGTATATTAAAGTAGTGTTCGCATTTCACCGAAATCACAAATTAGTCATAATTTTTGACAAAATTGGTCATAAATCGCATGACAATGTTCATTAGTTTATTGTGTACAATCATGAAGCTAATGTCTCATGGTACAATGAAATAGCATTATTTTGTGTGTTACAGTAAACCTTTTTGAGAAACGTGTCCTAATATTTCTTGAAAATTGCAATTTTTAGAACAATTCCATAGAACACATGTTAAAGAAAATTACATTTTTGTCACTTTTTAAAACCCAGATTTTTTAAATAATTCAGAACAACTAAAAAAGTTCTCCATCATTAACATTATATGATTTTTTCAGCCTATGTCACCAGGCTATATTTTGAGATATTGCATAATATCTCCGTCGTAGGAATCTATGGTAAAAGTGTTATACTGGTGTCAAAATGGCGACTTTCCACTAAAATACAACCATCAATTTCTTTAAAAAAAGGCTGGTGACCCCCAACTTTTTTTCGGTCAAAATCCTTATATTGTCTTGGAGTACAGTTTATTGCAAAATGAATACATTCGGGGTAATTTAATTTATGAGTATGCTTCTACCTTAAGCTGATAAAGTAAGTTGATAACGGTTGTACTTCACTTTAATCATTTTTGTATATAAATAAATTACACGATATCGAACTCATTTTGGTATGTACAATCGAAAATCATATCAAACCAAACCAAAGTTCATCTAAGATGTTCGGTTTCATTACACGATTACGTAACTACTACGTATGTTCATATACTTAACATAAAATCAAGTGTACAAGAAAGGTATTACTCACCCTTTGTAAAGATTAGTACACTCACAGGTATAGTTGAGTGGGCCATAACTTGAACACGTACCGCCAGACAGACACGGTAACAACTCAACACAAATGTCGTAATCTGACGAAAATGAGAAAGCATACTAAAAGTTAGAAATAACAATGTTACAACAAACGAAGACACATATATTACAATATTGAACACGGGATTCGAACACGCTATGCGGACAAGCACCCCCAACCCACAGGCAGACTCGCCACCTACAGCGCCACTCACACGAACAATTGACATTGTTGCACCTTGACGATAACGAGGTTAACATCTATAAGTTTCAGGTTAAGTTTTACAGTATATGCCAATAAAAATAACAGTTTGATTTACCATACATACTGTCCATTATTTTAATTATGTTAAAGGGCAGTGGTCGTCGCGCTGCGTATGTGCGACATTTGTGTTGATAAACATTGATTTACCCACAATCCAATGCGCTCTTCAAATGGAATTCACAAGTATGAGGTTTGCCCTAGGCGCGACTTGCACTGATTACCGCCGGTGACTCCTTCGATACCTTCCAATCACCTAAAAATTACCTAATTAAAGCTTAGGAACGTCTCAGTTCGTACTCGTTGATCTGCGCAACAGTCAAAGTCGCCATCTTTGTTTATATGAGACCCATATATCTCACGCATGCGTGGCGCGACGACTACCGCCATTTAATTACACAACTTACCAACGCAAAGGTCAGCACTGGAAGACCCAGGAGCTAATGTCCCCATTCCACTGGGGCATGGTTCACATCCCGTTGCTCGGCTATCGTTTTGATAGGTATGGCGGGGACATTGTTGACATGGCGATAGACCAGTATTAGAAAACGACCCAGGTTCGCAGAAATCTGTAATAATTGTAAACCCTTGTTAAATATGTATAAAATGTATATTTTAATGATATATGTGTTGAACATTTATTATCAGACACTTCAAATCCCGAAGCTTCTTCGATAGTATGAATCGGATTATGATTTACCTCTGCAGCTTGACTCCGATACAGCAACGCCGTATGTTGATGTGTCATTTGGACAGGGTGTGCAACTTGTCGACCCGTACTCAGACTGAAATGTAGCAATCTCACAACGTCGGCATGGTGCAACTCCGTTGGTAGAATAGAATCCTGGCCTACATAGTTCTGAAACACAACAAAGTGGTATTTGTCATTTACATATCACATCCGGGACATTCATACAGCTTGAAAGAAACCCAGTGAGCTCACATAAAAGATAATGATTTCGAATTCCTTCTAGGAAACACTCTTTATACGTACCTCGACACTCTTCGTCATTCTTTGTGTGTTCTTGCAATGTGCTGTAACCAGCAGGGCACTGTTGACATGACGTCTGACCGGTCATATTCTGGTATGTACCTATAGGGCAGCTGAGACAAGCGTCGCCGTCATCGAACGTTCCGGGCGTACACGTCACTTTTGTAGGAGAAAATAATTAGACATTGTTGGTCATAAAATATTTAGAAATACACATTCCAACTAGTTTTAGTATACTAGATACAACTTCATTTCTCAGTCATAACCCACTTAGCGGAAAACATCGTTGCAGGCCCTCTAGCCCTCTAGACAAAGCCATACTGTGACGACTCTCCCGCTTTAAGACAGTCACCCGCCAAAACAAATCTATCTGCCTCATTATGACGTCAAAGAATCGTTTAGCCGCTAACGGGCATTGACTTGCTGCCACCGTGACGATGAATTTCAAGTCCAATAACACAAACACACACCATCCGTTACAGACTTAACAGAGAGACATATAGAACATCGTCCCGTATTTCGATATCCAAAGTTCGTCGAATTAAAAGATGGTGGAAACTTCACAACTTACAACAATAGCATCCTCGTGTAATTGACCCTTGAGGGCAACAGCATCCCTGGAATTCTTCAGTAGGGGAACCCTGTAAAATAATCTCTGGGCAGGTAGCAGCCTGACTTTCTATTACTAGTATACTAGAAAGTTCATTGTACGACGTTAGAATGAAATCCATAATCCGCTCCCCGCATATAGATACCGCTGTCCTGTTGGTATTGCCAGGCAACGCTACAACACTCATTGAAATAGATGCGCTGACCTTTATTGAAAAACAAAAACATAGTAATTATTTGACAAAATGATAATTTTCGTTTAAAAAACAACAACTGATACTCATGTAATTCGAACCATTAGATATTTCATTGCTAAGCCGACAAGAAAGTATGTGTGAAACTTTTTTTTTTCGAAGAATTGGTATATTCCATAAGTCGACCAATTCCTATCTTAGTCATCATATCACGTCAAGTCGCTGGATTGTTGTTTTGAACATATACAAATGCCAGGTGTTATTAGAAATCAAAATGATGAAATTGCTACATATCAACGCCAATTGTTATATTTATATAACAGTCGCAGGTGATTGTTATTTTGATTTATTTCTGAAAGAAGCACAAATAAGAACAAGTCACGTACAATGTGTTAACTTGTTTTAATTTTATCGTATATCATTGGTGCAATTATTCCACTTTTCAGGCTGAAAAGACTTTATCTTCTACGATTTTACGAATACTCACATTTTGACCATCAATCATGGCAGAGGTATCAGTCAGTACAATCTGTACTGTGTCAGCAATGTCACTGCAAAGGACTGATAGCTGCGGATCTAACGACTGTATTATATATTCTAATATACTCTCGTAGTAAGCTGTGCACGACAATGGAATTGATGTTGTCGCTGTATACACGCCCCCAATAGTCAGGCAATAATCCGGAACTTCGAGTTCTAATAGATGCAATGGAGAACATGTTAATTACACGTCCAAACAATTAAATGATGCGTTAGTTTATTTATGTTTCAAATATATATAAATGTTATAATAAACTAACCCACACAATCAGGAACATAGTTATGCGGGTGCCATTTCCCTTCAAGTCTGCATGAATACATATTGCCGGGAGTGCCGATCTCTTGTATGAAGTCGTATCCACTCGGACAAGCCAGGGAACAGGAATAACCACCAAATAATCCTGGTACTAAACCAGTACACGCCTTTTGCCCACCTTCTGGGGTTTCGAGAGACCAATCTGGACACGACTCCGCTGATGAAATATTAAATATTATTGGAGTTATTATTATCAAATGATATAAATCGTGTTATATTATAAAAAGATATAATCTTCTCTACATGTCAATACAATGTAATAAAAATCCAGACAGTCTGATTGGTCCATGCGAGCGGACTAACCATTCACATCAAAGCAGGGAATCACAAAATATGTTAACACCTTATGATGTTGATCTCTGTACACAATGGTTTTTGAATTATTAATATTATTATTAAAAAACACTCTTGTAGTTTATGATGTTGGCCAAAATATATGTGTCGTTTAAATCCGCGCAGGTTGGAGACGTCATTTTAAATAACCCCAGCTACAACTTCTTCACGCATGTCCAGTGAATTTCAAGAACTATGGAACAGATACGAACCCGTAATTATTATAATGACGGCTTAAAAATAACCGTTTCTCAAACGCAATAAGGAGAATTATCGAATGGCTTTTATGCAAATGACCCTGAACGCTGCAAGTTGTTTTAAATACGTAAGTTACGACCATTGTGTTTGTTTTGGCCTTCAGAAGCTGCGAAATGGATACATAGATTAAACAGATTATGAAATTTGTGACCCTACAATATCAGATTTATGAAACAAATGTAGTCATTTTTTATATATTTGTTTTTAAATATTATTCTTCGTATCTCTCAAAGATTTGCACTATACTTTTGCAAGGAGTGCTGACATTCGATATATTATATTCAATATTATTGTGGTGTTTAGTTATTGAGAATCAGAGTTATTTTAGTGATATATTCTATCACATGTTATGGGATTTGGTGTACGAATTAGCAGTGTAGTGCAGGTTCTAGTTGTAGATCACATTTCAAGACTTATATACAGCTGTAGTACTCAGTACGCGGAAATGAGTAGGTAGTCTTACTAAATCAGCAAAAACTCTAAAAGTATATTTCAACTACACTAACCAAGATGTTTGACACAAAATACGAGCAAAACAGTTTTTATTTTACTTTCATGCTATTTCTCCAAAAAGTAAACTACGACGAATTTAAGTGTAATTTCATACCAAGATATACACGTCCCTGTCCGTGAAGATATTCATGTATTTTTACGTAGATATATTTGAAACAGACGACCGATCCTGTGACTGGAAATGGTGTTGCTGGCGTTATTTGATCAGTCCAATATTAAGAACAAAATCTTCTAACTTAATTATTGTGTGTTTTTATTCACAATACTGACAGTATTGTAACCGTTTAGTCAACCATTATATGCAGACAGTTTTAAACAAAATATGTACTGTTTATAGCTAGAAACACAATCTAATACCATTAAATGCTATTAAATAATTTGAGACACGGTTTTCGCGATAACCATACATATTTTGTGACGAATTATTTTTCTCGTTCCCGTTCAAATATACATTGTAATTGTCAAGCGGTAGATGGCACTAAAAGATTCGGGACTAAAAAAAACCCATTATAATCGATACATACGTTCCACCCAAGCTACGAATTCACAAGTAGCTTCATTTCCAGACATGTCCTGCGCTGTTACCGTGACTGTCAAATAGTTTACGTTGGATACAGTGGTACCGTTTGGTGGTTCATACGTAATACTTGCAATTCCGACATTGTCAGTTGCAGTTGCATGTGGGTAGATTATGTCAATTTCTAGTTCGTCGGTCAGTGTAAGGAAGCTCTCTGGACAGTATATTACAGGTGGCGATGTGTCTGAACATACAGAAATATATAATGAATATCATTAGTATGAAACAAACAAACAAACAAACACAAACAAACAAACAAACAACAACAGTAAATGTATATTTCATACGTGTTTTACTTACCCAAACATACTGGTGCAGTGCCATTCCAAAGGAATTCTTGAACTACGTCCACTTCTACTTGGACATCTCTTCTCTTTCGGTTCGATCCAGTCACTTCCTCTACAAAAAACGACAACATTATTGTAAGACATATATTACCGTATTACGTATAGTTATTTGTTGTATCGTCATCAACACTTAAACTGCAAATAATACTTATAGAATATACCCACAGTTAATTTTGTTAACTATAACCTAAACTGTTCAAGACAAGTGTTGTGAGATATGATAGACTTAGATGGAGTGTTATTATAAGGTTATCGTTACATGTATACGTGAATAAAATAAAGCATAGCACTAAAGTTGTGATCGATAAACAACTGATACACGAGTGTTCGATACAGCGCCGGTGAACACATTTACGAATCTATTTTAAAGATGATATTGTGCGTGACAGATGACCGAGCCTTTCAAATTGACTGGCTATGTAACACATACTGCACATGTTTTGCTCGAGTTCATAACCAGTCGAACAGCAAAGCTCAGCAAGGTCTTCTCTTGGATTTGCATCTGCTGTAAGACCTGGACAATCGCCGTTTTCATCGACAGACGCGAGACCGGCAAATGCGCTGGGATAGTTTGTCATGAAAAACAATTCTTGTAAACCGCAACCGGTCAAATCTGCTACGGAGTATCCAGGGTTCACTGGGTCGTTAGGCTCAATCATCCAATCAATCAATACACCCACCTGTGGATATTTGCCAAAAAATACAAAACACGGAGTCAAACAATTTTATAGTTTTATTTATAAGTTATTTTAAATAACATGCCGATGTATAAATATACAAATATCACTACAAGTAAAGGCTCTCTGACAGCATAATTAGAAAGTGGTTGAAGGGAGAAGTATTATTATATATACACGACAACAGAAACTATAACATATCTCATCTTTAAGAGTGTTATGAACCCACCGACTGACTTCCAGTAGTCACTGTAATGGTGGAGGTAACATATATTGTAACTTTTCCATTAAGTTCAGGGCATGGAGGAGCGCCTTCATATGGCAGAAACTGAGTTGCAGCCGTTGCCAAACCATTTGATATGGTAGTTCCATAGTATGATGCACACGTGTTCGCATCGGTAACTTCACTGTTAGCGTTATAGTCAACGGTAATAGTGGCACAATAATTAGGATACAAATCTATGAAAGCAATCATAAATGTACATGGTATGAATTTACATATTGGTATGGAAACACTTAAACGCTTATATCGCTGATTAACACGTGCTACACAAGAGGGAGACAAAACAGAAACTATGCCAAAGAATCATTCCAATCCAACACGTGTAGAAGTTATAACAATTACCTTGCAACGCAGTGATTGTGGTCACTTCTTTTGTAGTAGTCAGTTCTTTAGTTGTGGTGTCTCGCTCATCTATTAAGTAGGAAATTCATACACAGAATACAAATTACCTTACTATTTATTTTCTATTTGTTAATTCTAGAATGCACATTAATGAGATAATGAAGGATGGGATCTGTATACAAATAGTTACTTACTTTCAGTAAATATCTCAGTTACGTCATCATCTGTTACTACAACAGTTATGCTTTCAGTTGAATCATAGTCTGGAGATGAAAAATATGATTTTATAAAAAAAAAATGTTATGCAATAACAGGATGCTATACTGAATCAATATCGCCGCAAATCTCGTGCTTCTAATTGATCAATTATTCAAATGATAACTATAACATCAAACAATGAACTGAAGACTAAATACAAAATTTCAGGAAGGTTCATACATACAGGAATTGAAAGCGACTGGATAGTTAAAACGTCAGTAATAATATAAGGATGTAGATATCTTTATGTCACTATTGAAGAAGATAACACAGGTTGAATACTAGACCTACCTGTAACCGTGACGTGTTGTGGCATGGTTGTTTCTATCACATTTTGACCATTTTTGCATAGACGAAATTGCTTGCCAGTGTCTATTATCACATTATATGTGATCTGATCAACTCTGTAGGTGATGTGTCCATAGTCTGAATAAACTTTCACATTGAAAGACGTCCATGTTTCCTCTGAATCAGCAGGAAGTACGAACACATTGTTACTCATTCTGTACAATGTCACCCATCCACCTCTACTCTGCACTGTGACCGAGGTCACCGGATATCGATGATCTAGTACCACGAGCCCAAAAGCTGAACTATATGCACTTTCCTTGAACTGATAAAAGAGGAATGAAAACATAAGTTAAATGAAAACAATACATTGAAGTACCACGTGCCATTTCATGCATCTTTTCGACTTCATTTAAATTTGTTTTTATAACCAGTCAAGGGACGCAGACAACAAGAGGAGAATAAATCGCCCAAATCTGATAGAATGCTGTGTTAATTGAATGCTCAGCTTACTAGTTAATACTGCCCGACACTGACGTCATGTAGTAACGTTTGTTAAAATCACTAACCTTCAGTTTGATATTCTGATTACCAGGACAAGCCACAAGTGCATATGAGACATCCGCACTGGTCGTGGCATCGTCATACACTATATCCGTAAAGGAATCTGGACTGAGAACAATGTCATCCCATGACATGCATTTATCAAATGGACATGTGTCAACAACTCTTACTGTCACCGTCACTCCATTTGGACCTGTTACTTCCATGCACTGACCACACCGCTGTACAAAATATATACATGGATAATTTAATCTATAAGTTTTTTTTTCCAACTACGTTAACTACGACAGTTAAATATTTTATAACAAGTGTACTCACCGTTGCTGTATTTAAAGTGGCCATTCCGCCAAGACCACTGATATAATAGTCACCATAAGAACATTCATCAATTCCTGGTAAACTGGATGATTCAACAATTGCACTAATGGGGTCAGTTATCACGCATCCATCTGAAACTGATAAATGCCAATATTTTTACACGTTGCTCACATAAAGAAAAAGCGCTTGAAAGAATAATTATGTTATATTCGTCTCAACTATAAAGTTGTACATAGATGGTTTACCTTCTGTCGTGGTTAATTCAGAAGGTACTGATGTTGTAGCCTCTTCCATGACATCAGTTGTAATTGAGTTCAAGGTAGTAACTATAGAGGGTACAGCAGGTGCACCAGCATCCTTAGTTGCAGTCTGTGTTAACTTGTCTGTAGCTGTGGTCTCTATCAACTCGTCCATGACTGTGGTCTCTATTAAGTCGTCTATGACTGTGGTCTCTATTAAGTCGTCCATGACTGTGGTCTCTATTAAGTCGTCTATGACTGTGGTCTCTATCAACTCGTCCATGGCTGTGGTTTTTCTTAACTCTGTCACTTCTTCTTCCACTATTTCAGTTTCGTATACAGTCTCGTATTCTTTTGTTGATACACTGGGTGTATTTGTCACTACTTTAGTTTCTTCTCCCGCCGTGACATCAACATCTTTAGTGACAGTACCAGTCACTTCTTCTGAAGTACTTTTTGTCTTTAGATCTGTTAAGAGGTTAAAGAAGCTTAGCATGAGCAATGCTTATTTAGATTTCCATTATATTCCTATGTTTTATTTTGGTTGTGTTGACGTAGATAAAGACGTGACATAAAATAATGCACATATAATAGATATGTAATGTTATCGTCATATAGTGCATCACTGATCAGTTACTGGTAACATGTTGTTTACCTATAACATTAATTATTATGTAACCTTAATTGTATATGTATGTTGTCCATGTTCACTCTCCTCATCCCTATGACGTATTAATCACAGCTGTACTGTACTGTGCTGTGCTGTATGATAGCAATCGAACAGGAAACAGGGAAACCAGCGAACACATTTAGTGAGCTGTAAATCACCCCCTATTCTCGCACAAAAACCGACTGATGGCGTTGTAACTCGAAAATCCATTGAGTGGCTGTAAGCTGTTCGAGATTTAAAAACAAACATACCTTTACAAAATATTGTATCTATTTTGTTTTGTTGCATGTGTAGTTTAATTTATTCTTGCCGTTATTATTTACATTAATAATATCAAGATTTATAAGATTAGGGTAAGAAATCTTCATAAGTGATGAAGGTTTCACGCGAGACAAACAAGTCACGCGAATTGCGAGATGATTATAAATTTCTAGAAATCTTAATGCAACATAACTGAAACTGTGAAAGTACTGATTAGCGTTCATCTCAGGCCGTTTTGGTGGTGTCCTTACTTTTTTGCAAATTGTATAATACGTGTATATTACGTTTTGAATCTGGCGAAAACAATTTTTCTCATTTCTGCAATGGTATCGCTTTCAAACGCTCACAAAGCGTTCAGACCTTGTTAAATCTTCATTGCATATCACCGTATATGATTAAGAAAGTTGCAAACCATTATCTTATAAACCGTTTGTACAGCTCCATTTTAAGTTAAAATACAACTGTTTTAGGTGATAATGGTTGCTAAGTAAGACACAGTTTTGTCATAATTGCTTATACTTCATATAATAACAAAACTGTAACCTGTACTATTAATAATAGTTTGTTTGACTCTATAGTCATACTTTTCCTACAAATTCATTTAAAAAAATGCAATATGTTTTCAAATATTGTTGTTTAATACTGTAGGCTGAATCGGATTATGGTTGATTTTAAACTAAAAATGTCGCGTTTGTAGGACATACAACAGTATGCATTGGATGAAAAATCGAAACCACTAATACGCAAGTGTTACTGTATGCACTAAAACAACTAGTATGAAATAATGCAATTCTCTAATACGCATGTGTACTCGAATGATCGAATGATTACTTGGATGTGTGCGACAATAATAGTTCAGATCATGATAAGTCTAGTGTGTTCATCATTTGTTAACATAACTGGTGTTTTGTAATGCAACCAAAACAAATATACCAATCAATACAAATTACAAAACAAACAAGACTAACGTATATGAAAATTAATACGAGGGGCTTTCGATAAGTAATGCCCCTGACCCACTTCCAGTTGTCTGATCTAGATGAAATTTTGCATGTGTAATGATTTAAATCTCTGAACTAATTGTGGTTTCTGATTTACAGGTGTTTGATCTGAGTCAGGTGTGAAATGGAGCCAGTTGAGTGTCGTACAGTG